TACCGGGTGTCACGCAGTCGCTATACTTGCGTTTGCCGTTCTACTTTGACTGCCGATAACGATAAGACCGCGATACCGGGTCTATTTTTAGTGCATCCATGAATCAGCTCTGTGTATCTACGTGGAAAATCGCCATGGTGCTCCATCGAGGTCTTCTCTGTTGGACGAGCGCCCATGAAGATCGAAAGTTCGCCATGACGATGATTTTTCGTCGGCTGAAAACCCCAAAGTGCCTCGAGGTGCATTCTTCGAAGCACGACAGTGGTTTACGGGGCCCGATGAATTCCTGTTAAGGAAAGACCCTTCCGTGCACACCCTGCCAGCATATGGCGACTCCCGTTCCACCCCAGTGCTCTTCCTCAATTTATTCCCCCGAATATTTTTTACATTTCACGCTTGATACGCCAGATTACCCGGTAGATTTTCGTTTAACGCGGGGTGCACTTCCTCTTCGACGAATTCCTGCCCGTTAACTTACCCATTAGGACGATTCGTTTACAGGGACTGGCTTCTTGTTTTTTGGCTTCTTCAAGGGGACCGTTAATTCCTCGCGTTCCACTGTCTCTTACTCCGCTTCGTTTTAGATCACAGAGGAAATTCAATTAACGCTAAAACTGCTTCTGGCCTGTAATGACTTGCTACGTGTCTTATACGCAGTGATAATAATTGTAGCGATGCGATCAAGATAATTAATTGCACACGTTTAATTACGTCCCTCTGTGAACAAAAGGTAATATTAATTTTGACAGAAGTAGGCATATCTTTTTAGAAATAACAGAAATAGAATATCCAAGTCATCTGATACCATCGGCAGACATAGTGCTGACGAAAATGGTACGAATTTAATCACAAGGAATCGCAAAAATGGCGGAATATGCAATGAATTTTTCTAGAATTTTGATACGATTTATTATTATTAGGAGAAATGAAAACGAAATGTGAAAGAGATTTTAATTTTGGGATTAAACGTATTATAAGATTGCACCACTTGAGTATACTGTTCACCCTTGGCTTCTGAACCGACTACCAGCAGCTAAAGGAAGGTCTTACTGCCAAGGACTCCGACCCTTAGGGTCATAAATAAAAGACGACTCCGTTGACAGTTCAATGCCTCGGCTTCGAGACCTCGAATCGATATTACACGTTGAACTCTAATATATAATTCCAAAATAAATATATTTTACATTGCACCAATCCCTCGTTACATCACAATTACAATACTCTCACTCAGAGGATGAAAAATATTCTGACCTGTCGCGACAATCTCAGTTTATTTATATTAATTTAAATATTCTTTAAATTAAGATCGTTCCACGGTTCGGAAGATACTTGGAAAAAGGAAAGGAATACCTCCAAACAGAAATATCCTGACGTGTATTTCGGTTCCTATAGCCGGCTGGAAGTTATTGATGCCTCGTGACGGGGTGGCTGCTTTCTGGCAGCTCCTGACGAGCGACAGACCCTCCCTTTGACACTTGTATGCGGTCGTCTACACGCTTTTTCTACCTTCCGTATTATTTTCTCTTTCATTAGCCGCCGCCAACGAGGAAGGTATACCGCTTCGTCGATCGTGCGCGGTTCATCTTTGGAACACGATCGACCACGGGTTCGCCAGGAATGCGTCACTTTGCCCGTACCGTTACACGAGTATCGTGGTGAACGCGATCGACATTGTCGTGCCGCAAAAATCTTTTATGGCAGTAGCTTGTCTGGCCTCGTGAACGCGAAATAGAAATAGACCGAAGCGCTCCTCGCGAGCCTTATTTACGGCCTATCGACGTTGACGTCTAATCTACGACCCTCTGGTAAAGATTCGAATCAAAGTGAGCACTTAGCCACGTCCATAGAGATCAAAATTGTGTACTTAATCGGACTTGATTAAGTACGAAGAGGCTCGGTTACCCTGAGACACTTCGCATAGGACGAAAATGTAGAAAAAGGGATGAAATTATAGAGATCAGCGACCTTTTCATTAAAAGGGTTACTACGAATGGCTGACTCGTGACAGAGGGCAATTTTCTTTAATTTCGGAGTTCATAAATTGTTTTCTCAGCCCAGAGATGTCCAGTGTATCGTAAGAATATTTATGCTTGATACATCTGAATAAAAATTACACCTCTTTATTTGTCATATGAAGAGACACGCTTAATATATATTTTTTTGTTTGTTACTGTATCCTAATTTTCGACTTCTGGTACATGCGTACACGATGAAAAATGGCAATGTTTCTTAATTTCTATGACGATCAATTTTTCCCTCATCCCAGAGATGTTCGGTGTATCACCATTGTATCATAAAAATATTCATACCTGCTATATCTGAATAAAAATTATACCTATTTGACTCGTATTCTAATTTTTGACTTCTGCTATATATATATGCACGCGATGAAAAATTTGTAAATTGCTCGAGGTTTCAATATCTCGCACTGTGGAAGGCACCTAAAAGTGCTTCACCGACACCCACGTGTTCACCGGTGCCTCGTTCCTGATCTCCGCTCACGGAGGCACAAAGTTCTCGGTAGCGGATCGATTCTGCAAAAGGAATTTGGAGTCGTCAAACAAGAAACGGCCTCTCGTCGCCATGGAGCAGAAAAAGTCGAACAAAGATCGATACTCGGGTACACGAGCACCTGGGAATTCCGCGTAAACCGCATTAATGCCCGCGCGTAAGCGTCTTGGAATTCGCGCGATGAATCAGAAATCTCGCAACGCGTCCGCGTCGCGGCGATCTTCCTAGCTGTTTTCCGTGGAAAATCGCGCGAGCGCGGGAATGATCGCCGTGATACCAGACGCGTTTCTAACGCCACGTCGTGTTTGTATACGTTTGCTGCTTTGTTAAGGCTGGTTAGAACGGAACACGCCGGCTCTCTATCGATTCCCCGTCCTCGTTAAACGAGAATTCCACGACGGAGGCGTGCTAGAGACCTGCTATTTGTTTAGCTGGAACGCAAATACGACTACGAAACGTTTACATCCTCCACGCCGAAATTGAAACATCGGAACGCCGAGAAGGGACTCGGTTCTCGTGATAAGAACGGTGTGCCGGTTGTAGGCTAGGGAGCATCTCGAGGTATTATTGTATTTTGTGCAAGCTGTCAAAATTCTGTAACTTTTTCTCACGTCTATCGAGGATTGCCTTTGGTGTAATTTTGATATACCACATTGGTCATTTTTATCCAATTTTGTATCATTTTGTTATAATGCTTGGTAATAATATAATATGACAATGTCATTATTTATATGGTATATTAACCCTTTGCACTCGAGAAGTGAGCTTCAGTCACCGTTTCATAAAATTTGGAAGATCGATATTAATTAATATATCAAATTTATTGTAACGTAACAGTGTGCGAGGTATCAGAATCAAATAATTCTACAATTCTTTATTTACTGCTCAAAAAAGTATCGTCAATTTTTTAGTAGAGATTCTCTGAATTTCTACTCTTCTCTAGCCAAAAAATCGTTAAGTGCAAAGGGTTATGTTAGGAATTTGTATTGATTTATAACGATATTCAGACAAATCTGGTACGTCGAATGAACCAATTATCCCGAACGAATAGACGAAACGCTAAATATTTGAAGAAGCACCCTTTAATTGGCACGCGCCACCCTTAAGCTCGTTCAAACATGATCCTACGTATAATCTCCCTATTCAGGCTGTTCAACTCGACTCAGGTACCAAATAGCCAAATAGTCGAAGACACGAGAGGAGGGTATTGACGAGCATGTGCACGGTGAAAGGATAATCTTGGTATTCTCTTTGAAACGTGCTCGTGGAGCGTGGCCATGGTTTAGCGAAAATCCGAAAGAGCCTGTTGGGTGTTTCACGAGCACTGTGCTCTCCCCTTTGCACGATTTCGCTCGGTACACTCGGTGAAAATCATTGTGCGACGACACGTAGCCGAGATCCGAGCTGTAGCAACTTTTATCCCGTGCACGGAGTACGCGATTCGCCACATTTGGCGCTGATCGTTACAGTTGCAAGCGAAGCGTGGTTCGCGGCCATAAAATCGGCCTACACGTGTTTTCGAAACGCTGAGTGGTACTTGCAAACGTGTGGGCCAAGTCTTCGACTGGTAACATCTGGCCTATCGACAGATCGGACTTAGAGTGCTTATAATTAGCCGGTTACTTCAGCCTCGGTTTCAGTTTCTCCGTTTCGATGCTAAACTTACCACGGTTGGTCAATTGACTGGACAATGTTCTGTCAAGGTTGATGAAGTAGAGAATACGTATGAGAAAAATGGGCATTGAAAAATTGATCATATTACGGGTTTGGTATTACTTTCTTGACGTTAAGTACATCAGCTGGTACAAAGAGGGCTGAGTGTTTGATCAAGTATATTAATTAACATGGAAAATTAAAGAATTAATTTTGGTTACACTCTTTGATCATCGATCACTCGAAAAATCAATTTCTTACGAATTTCATTCGGATAAATAGATCATGTTGGGATCCCGTCTGTGCAAGGCTAAGATCAACTTTCACGTGACACCCTTTATTTAATTTTATAGGCTATCGCTGTGTAAACGCGTTAATCCTGACATATGAATACATACAACATGACTTTTACCCATCTGCGAACGGGGTGATCTGGTGTCTGGTTTATTTTCGGTGCACACATCCCTCGTAGCCGGCGTATCTGAAGGGTTGATAGCGTTTTATGCGGCGCGCGTGGCTAACGTCTGTCTCCGAGTTAATTATGGACTAATTGTCAAGGTTCTTGTCGCGTCGGGTCTTTACCATTTTTTCCGCTGCTCCTGCGACAACAGGACGTCGTCTTCCTTCCTTTCCTTTCCTGCGCGGACTCGGCTGAAGAAACCTCGTGTCCTTGCTCGGAATAACCCTCTCCTTAAACCCTAACCTCCGAGCTATTAACTCTTCGGTAATAACATTCCATGTCCCAATGAAATCGATAAAAATACCGTGTCCAAAAGTAATTCGGGAGAAATTAAAAAATATTTTAAGGTAACGACAGCCTCTGATTTTCTTTACAGACAACCATAAAGGTGTACGCCAATTGCCTTCGAGCGGACATTGAGTACAAGACCCTGTGCATCACGTACGAGACGACTTGTCGCGAGATCGTCCAGAACCTATTGAACAAGTACCGCATGAGGCTCCGTGATCCCAGGCTGTTCTACCTCACCATGGAGGTCACCGTGAGGAGACCCAACGTGAGGACCGTTCTGCCTCTGGACGAGGACTCGAGGCCTGCCGTTCTGCAATCGTGTCATCCTCGTGGCGATTCCAGGTACGATTCCGACCACTCTTCCTTCGATTGTAGCCTTCGTAGCCCTCGGTTTCGGTCGGCTTCGTGATGTAATTTCAGGGCTCGCGACCGACCGTAAACACGACTTCTTGTGGGTCGGTGAGCACGAGCCAACGACGAGCAACGTCCTTTCGAGAGATTCCCTTTGTTCTGGCTCCTTCGAGTCGTCTGGCTCGACTGCGCGAGACGTGCCTTTATTTATGCTAACGAGTCGGGGAATAGGGGCTCGTGTCCTCGTCGTTTCGCTCAGATTTTTAATGGGAGCAGAGCCATGTGTACGTACGTCTTATCAGAGAGTTCAACGACAGTTGGAAGTCCGAGTCGTCTCGTTAGGAAAGGCGTCGGGGTACTTAATTTTAAAAGAGCAGCCCGAGTCCGGGGGAAGGAACGTTTGGATTCAGAGGACCGAAGTTTCTGTCGCATGGTCGAAGAAAGGCTGGAAGTCAAGGCTGTTTTCATGGTAGCTCGAAACTTCCGGCGAAGGTATACGTTATGTAGACAGACAATGTTTGACTGGAAGTTCAGGCCCGGTGTTTTTACGCAGAAGTAGCGTTCGTTGATTCCCTTTGAGCTCACCGGTTACGACGATATGCACAGGATTTACGGATGTTTTCTTGTTGCAGATTCTCGTTGAAGACACGCCGCGGGGGACTTGTGAAAATATACGACAGCGCGCTCATGTCCGGAGTAAGTCACATACACTTTCAAATAATTTCACCAGGTTTCTCGTTAATTGCTTTGACTTCATACGCGAAATGTTAGTCGAACTAGGTTTATTTCGTTTCTATCAGCTTCGTTCTACGTTATCCTGCTTTGCTATGCTTTATTATCCTCCGCCATTTTGTCATCGCCGCTTTATCTCTTGCAGTCGAAGTACAAGAGTCTATTAGTCTCCGAGCAGACCACCGTAGACGAGCTGATCCAGATGCTGTTGAGCTGCTACAGCTCAAAGGAACGCGTCGAGCAGTTCTCCCTGTACGAGGTCTGCGAAGGCGAGGAGTACCAGAGGAAGCTGCATCCCGACGACTCACCCCTTAAGGTCACGCAACGATGGACAAGCGCCGATCGCCATCTTCGCATAAGACGCAATCCGGATTACAATCCTCACAGAAGAAAAGTAAATAAGCCACTCGTCGACCAGCTCTTCGTTATTCGGATTAATCCCAGAACTAAGAAGCTTCCTGATATCCGGATTACAATCCTCACAGAAGAAAAGTAAATAAGCCACTCGTCGACCAGCTCTTCGTTATCCGGATTAATCCCAGAACTAAGAAGCTTCCTGACCAATCTTCAAATTTTACTCGAATAAATAATATCCGGTTGGCCAAGAAGCAGTGGCGAATTTTTGTAGTGGAGAAAATATAGAGAGGGTTTTGTTCGAATGTAGAAAGGGTTCTGTTCGAATGCTAAATATTAGCCCTTATCGTGTAAAAAGCTAGCGACCGATAAGAGTTAAATCTGACGACGTTTCTTTTTGGCCAATCCGAGAGTCGCTAAATAATTAATTACCACGATGGAAAAATCGAATTCCGATAAATCGAACGATCCACGCCGCGCATTCTCACACTCGCGACACAAAGGAATTCCTCATCTTGGATGTGCTCCAAGATGGCCGGGCGTAATTACGCGCACGGGCGCATCCCGAGGCGGTGCGTCAACCGCCATCAGTGTTATTCATAAGAATATAATAGAAAGTCAAATTCGTTACACAATCGTCCTGTTCGCAGAGCATGTGGGCGTCGGACTCGAGCATCAGCATGGCGATGTCAAGACTGAACCTCCATGGCTCTCACCAGGCCCACTACAATCAGGGAAACGACAACAACAATCATCTGTCCCTGTATCAGCACAAAGACGCCAGCTCGATCAACAATAACAACAACATTCACAAGATCGATCAGCATCATTTGTCCCTGGGATCTCTGAACCAGCAACCGAGAATCGTGGTGCCTCATGCGACCCAGCTGCCGCAATTGCAAATCCCGCGTGTCCAGCAACTGCCACAGAGTGTCCCTTCGACGCCGATCTCGTCGAAGCACATCACTGCCTCCTCGTACGCGGATTACGAGAATTATTTGTTCATTTAAACGTCGTAGAATCGACTGTGCTAGGTGTAATATCGAAATCGCGAGTCCTACGACGGAAAATCGAGTTGCAGCTGCGTGCTGACGCGTTGGAGATCAGCTGCAGCTTCGTTTCAATCGCGTTGAGCAGTATTCGAAGCTTGGTCGAGTAGTGGAGGTTTCACTGTCAGGATTTCATAGTCAGGATTAAGTCTAAATTTGCAGAGTTCTGTCAGAAGTGGGTTCAAATTTACTGAGATTCGTCAGCAGTGAATTGGACTTTGGAAAGATCTATCCGAGAGTGGGTTAAACTTTAAGTCTGTCGGGTGGGCCTAATTTTTATTCGCGCGAATTTTCGAGCAGCATAATGGCAACGCGTTAGCTATACGAGAATGAGATTATTTATGAATGGCAGTTTGCGAACGGAATGAAAGTATAGACGGTAGTAAAAGCGAGGATCACGGGTTCGTGTCTCGGCTACATCGCGTCGTCGATCGGGCGGAACAAAGAGAATTTACGATTATAGTCAATAGCGAGAACAATTGTACCAAAGGTAGACGTACGAAATGTTAGGTAAATAGTATATTCAGCCGTATATATGTGTAAATGTTTTGCGTTAGGAAGATATTACGTTAAGAACGTCAAAATCGGACAAAGTCGCAAGTGTAACAAACGCGTGAGCCTACGGGACTTGCGTGAATTGAAATTTCGCGTACCGTGGAAGGAAAAAGAATGAATGTTATTTTTTTCAGGAAATTTCTACGAAATCTATGCGACAACCTAAGGTGTTTAATTCGATTTAAAATCTGACTATGAAGAGAAGGAATGAATGAAAGAATGAGGGAACGTTGGTATTCTTCCAGGAAATTTCGATAAACTTTGTACAATTTAAAAATGGTACAAAGCAGTCCCGCGGGTTAGACATCGTATATTTATATATTGCAAATTGCACTTTACCCAAGAGTGTCGCACAATGTGGCCTCTATTATTTATTTCTAACGACCGTGTAGCATTTAAGAAAGCGAGCCTGGAGTTTTAAGTTATTTCAACGTAATCCCGTGCTGTAAATTTCGTCCTGCATTTCGATCGAACGGGATTCGAGTGTATTCGTGTAAATATATCCAATAAACGACGAGTTACTCGGATAATCATACTAATTACTAGTAGCCAGTCGCGGTTGTAAATGTTGATAATTCTGTAATTTAGATATAGATCGTTGGTTTCGGCCTGATGTCGAAATCGACGGATTTACCTGGTTTAATCTTAACAAATCTGACATTTAAAGGCGAGACATGTTATCCACGTTATATATTTCCTCCACGATTCATTGTAAATAGACTCTGCTCTAACCTTCTCAGCCACGTTTCGTCAACGTTTCGTCGAAAATTGCATCGATTGCCAAAGAGTCGTCACGATATTAAAACGAGAACTGTGTAGATTTAAACGTGCGACAAAACGAGCAGAAATTATTCTCTTTCGTCGCTTGTACGTGCTTGAAACAGTGACAATTGTCATTAGTCGCGTCGATTACGCGATTATAGTCACGTGTGCCACGCGGCTTTTCAATAATTTGTAACGAGTACAATGAACCTTGTATTATTTCCCGAACGACACGGTAGAGTGTAAATATTGATTTTGTAACGTCGTTTATAAATCACACCGAAGAAGAAATTATCGTTTCATCACGTGTCTAACTCTGGTCGATTTTCATTACACCTATCAATCTTCACGTTTCCTCAACGCGTTAAACGTCACGCCGATTTTGCTTGCCGTTCCGTTCAGGCCCAGACTCGGTCGTCAAGTGGGCCATCGGTGGCGGGCGAAATGAGCATAAAACTCGGAGATACTGCTGTGGGTTAAACTTTAAGTCTGTCGGGTGGGCCTAATTTTTATTCGCGCGAATTTTCGAGCAGCATAATGGCAACGCGTTAGCTATACGAGAATGAGATTATTTATGAATGGCAGTTTGCGAACGGAATGAAAGTATAGACGGTAGTAAAAGCGAGGATCACGGGTTCGTGTCTCGGCTACATCGCGTCGTCGATCGGGCGGAACAAAGAGAATTTACGATTATAGTCAATAGCGAGAACAATTGTACCAAAGGTAGACGTACGAAATGTTAGGTAAATAGTATATTCAGCCGTATATATGTGTAAATGTTTTGCGTTAGGAAGATATTACGTTAAGAACGTCAAAATCGGACAAAGTCGCAAGTGTAACAAACGCGTGAGCCTACGGGACTTGCGTGAATTGAAATTTCGCGTACCGTGGAAGGAAAAAGAATGAATGTTATTTTTTTCAGGAAATTTCTACGAAATCTATGCGACAACCTAAGGTGTTTAATTCGATTTAAAATCTGACTATGAAGAGAAGGAATGAATGAAAGAATGAGGGAACGTTGGTATTCTTCCAGGAAATTTCGATAAACTTTGTACAATTTAAAAATGGTACAAAGCAGTCCCGCGGGTTAGACATCGTATATTTATATATTGCAAATTGCACTTTACCCAAGAGTGTCGCACAATGTGGCCTCTATTATTTATTTCTAACGACCGTGTAGCATTTAAGAAAGCGAGCCTGGAGTTTTAAGTTATTTCAACGTAATCCCGTGCTGTAAATTTCGTCCTGCATTTCGATCGAACGGGATTCGAGTGTATTCGTGTAAATATATCCAATAAACGACGAGTTACTCGGATAATCATACTAATTACTAGTAGCCAGTCGCGGTTGTAAATGTTGATAATTCTGTAATTTAGATATAGATCGTTGGTTTCGGCCTGATGTCGAAATCGACGGATTTACCTGGTTTAATCTTAACAAATCTGACATTTAAAGGCGAGACATGTTATCCACGTTATATATTTCCTCCACGATTCATTGTAAATAGACTCTGCTCTAACCTTCTCAGCCACGTTTCGTCAACGTTTCGTCGAAAATTGCATCGATTGCCAAAGAGTCGTCACGATATTAAAACGAGAACTGTGTAGATTTAAACGTGCGACAAAACGAGCAGAAATTATTCTCTTTCGTCGCTTGTACGTGCTTGAAACAGTGACAATTGTCATTAGTCGCGTCGATTACGCGATTATAGTCACGTGTGCCACGCGGCTTTTCAATAATTTGTAACGAGTACAATGAACCTTGTATTATTTCCCGAACGACACGGTAGAGTGTAAATATTGATTTTGTAACGTCGTTTATAAATCACACCGAAGAAGAAATTATCGTTTCATCACGTGTCTAACTCTGGTCGATTTTCATTACACCTATCAATCTTCACGTTTCCTCAACGCGTTAAACGTCACGCCGATTTTGCTTGCCGTTCCGTTCAGGCCCAGACTCGGTCGTCAAGTGGGCCATCGGTGGCGGGCGAAATGAGCATAAAACTCGGAGATACTGCACCAATTGTTATAATAGTAATTCCCAAACGTTAGATCCAAAGATGGCGAAGAATTTAACACCGAAAGTTAGCACCTTTTTGGTCCTAGTCTGGGCCGGTGTCTGAAGACTGGCCGGGCCGGAACGAAAAGTCTAGCACCAGTCCCTGAGGACCGGCATGGCACTTAAAGTGTTAACCGGGATCAGCTGCACCGAGGTCGATCATCGAAATGAGAGTAGATGGTCTCGTGTGATGATAAAAATTTTATTTACAAATGCGACAAATGTTAGGAATTTTGGTTACCAGTGACGTATCGGAGAGAAACGAGCGTAACGATTGGTCGATTATCGATCGCTATACTTTCAGGATTTCCCTAATAATAGTAACGCCTCTTTCTCACACAGCCCTCCCTAAGATCATGCGGTATAATAATTTCTTCGGTATAATTCTGAACGCGCTCTCGTCGACGGCACGTCGCTCTCTCCGTGAGATCACTGATAGAGGAGAGAATCACTGAGATGTAACAATAATAAACTTTACATTAAATACGATTAGAATCTAGCTATTTTTTTTCATCAATTTTTTTTTCATTTTTCTTTTTTTTAAAGGACTATGCGGAGTGTTACAGTAATAGAAATATTCATTTTCCAAGGAGAAAGGGTTCGTCTTGCGGGATACTTTCTTGGGGGAAAATTGGGGATGGGCCGTGTCGAAGGGGACTCGGGGGTGAAGGGACAATAGGGGCGGGGGAATATACTTTTTTTCGTTTGAAGTTTCAAAGGATAACATCACAGCATTGACATATCAACATCGAAACGATCAAAGCATCGCGTCTCTCGAGACTCGTCGACGACGAAGTTAATCGATCCATCGATCGAATACGTTCCCTATCACCGACTTAACCCCGATCTACCTTCGAGCCTCCCTGTTCGGGGGCCGAAAATCGGACGAATACCGATCGGTCGTCGAGTAACCCTCGAAGGGCGCGCTGCCACGGCCGTAGCACTTTTCATTTTTGCTATAGAACAATTTACAACATCTCGTTAATTAATCGTCTCAATTCCGTCTCCGAATAACCGCAGCTCGCTCACACAACATCGCGAATCCTCTCGTTCTCTCCTCTTCTCTCCTCCATACTCGTACTCCGTTTCTATCTTTCTCGCGATCTCTCGTTCACACATAAGCACACAGGCATACGCTTGCTTCGCTCTCTCCTCTCATCCGTTGCACTCGGTACAATTAGACGAACTCGTTAATTCGTTCAACGGCCAGGCAATCGATCATCCGTCACGCTGTTCGGATGCACCCTCTATCTTCTCGTTACTCGCACGCTGATTCCTCCGCAGCAACAACGAAATAAAATTCGCCTGAGGAAAACGACTCAGAACTCTTTCTCTCTCTCTCTCTCCCTCTCACTCTCTCTCTCGTCCTCTCTGTTTCTCTCGTCCGTTCGCTTGTCTGCAATCGAAATCAATCGCACGAGGGAATAATAGACAATATACACAGGGAAAAACCTTTGATCCAACGAACCAGCCGCGAAAGAAATAAAAAGTGAGGACGTAGATGGCGCGACGTTGTTCCCTGCGCGAGGGACACGTGCGGCGCCACCACGCGGGACAGACACGCGTGAAAGCACGTCGAAATTGAACACGTTAGAATCCACGTACACAGGCGACAGGACTTCGTCCTCTAGGCGACGCCGGTTGATTCGAGTCGACGATCGTATTTATTATACGGGACGGCGTGACAAAAAGCAGCTTTCAGCAGTTGCCATTTTGATCGATGACGTATATCGACGGCGATTATATATCCGACGTCGTTATTCTCTCCAACGATCGAGTAAAGATTGCGCTAAAATGAAAAAAGGACAATTCGATCGCGAAAATACCGAGATCGTAGCTTCTCTAAGTTCATCGACGCGATTTTAGGAATACTCAGCCGCGTTTTTTTATTTTTTCTGCTTTTTTTTCAGGAATATTCAGACATGTTCTGCATGCAATCGTCTCTATCTGCCTCTATAGCTCGTCCTAGTCTTAAAACGTTCTAAAACGTGATCGACAGGTGAACAGCGAATTTCTTACGCCTCGTCTCCGTTGCGTTTTAGATTACGTCTACTCGAGTAATCGAATATAGAAAGCAGCAACAGGAAGCCGATAAAACGCGTCGATTTTCCCTTTTCATGCGCTCGGCAATTGCGTTTCCTTGATGCATTTGGCATGTTATCGTTACGTGCATTAATCGGAGACAAAATCACGATCATCGAGTCAAACCGAAAATGGCGTCCGTTGCGATCATAGCACCACGACTTCGTCTCATCGTCTCCCGTCACGTCTTTTCTCTCTGTACACACGGATATACTTTCTAAGACCACTTTGCATCGACGATGTCTCGCTTCTTCGAGCTTCGAGACTCGTCGCAACAGGCATTTCGCGATACGTCTAAAGTGCGTCGAGACGCGGCCCACATCCACGAAGATCTGCTGAAAATTCTTGGACCGTGCCGTTTCGAACGGTCCTTCTTCGTCGATGCTTCGTTCTCGTGGTTCTATTCGCTTATACTTTTTCGTAATTCTCTTTGGACCTTCCAACCATTCGCGTTTGGGGTGGCATTCTTCGAGGAGGGCGTCGATCGATCGTCGAACGAAATCGTTCGCCACGACGCCGGCGAAAGCAGCCTGAATTTCAACAACACGTTCACGTGCACACGGTGCAAGCCAACGCAACGAATCACTCCTAACTTAATTAAACATTCAATTCGCGCCCTATTTATACACCGAACGAATTGTACTTGCGCCCTCTTGACTCTCGCTACCCTTTTGAAGAAAAGGCTCACCCTCGCTTCCAGTCTTCCCTCTCTCGTCTCTCCGTTTCTTCTTTGAACGGCTTAGGCATCGACATAACAACGCTCGTGTTATGTTCTCGTTGAGTCTTTCAAGAAAATTCGATTGTGTTCCCGATTGGACTTTCAGCGTTCCTGCGTGTCATCGTGGTTTCCAGTGAATTATAATTTCTCCTTTTTTCTTTTTTTTTTTTTTATCTTTTCGTGGATTTTCCTTTTTTCAGCTCTTTTTAATGCTTTCTCCTTTTTACTTCCTCGCGAGGAGAGGTATTACGTTTTTCCCCCCTTTTCTCCTGCCTTCGCTAGAACAGAATGTGTCGATTTTGTACGCGTCGAACGAGCTTCTCGCGTGCGAGTTTTAACCCTAGATCGTTTACGGAGAAACACTACGGAGATTTTTCATTGTACGTAGAACCGAATTGCTGTCGATTGAAAGCTATAGGTTACGATTCACAAATCTTTTTTTTTTTTCTTTCGTTTTGCTTTTAATATAGCGCGCTAATGGACGTGTTACGGATCCGAACGCTAGCCTCGGACGATATATCGAAAGAAAGAACGGACTGGAAGCCGCTAAAGATCTAAACCGAAATCGTTACGACTCGACGGATTACCCGTCGATGACTACTGGGGATCGTTTAATAAGAAATATCAAGGACCCTTCAAAATCGTGTGTCGTGGTTGTGTGTACTGTGTGTGACCGTGTAAGACGCCGTATCTCCTATCAGGTCTGCGCAACGTGGGTTTCTACCGCTGCCTATCCAGCGGGAGACTCTTAGAAAATATTATAAAAAATTGCCATTTCGCTAAAGACGTCAGCTAGACGTCGTTACACATCCTCTATCGATCATTTTAATTACGTCGGGTGACGTCTAGAAAAAGTAGTATACAATAGCTACGATTCAAGATCGGTTGGCCTACGTGTCGTGACGCTATTCGTAGTTAGCCGCAGGAACAGAGAATTTTGTTAAAATAATCGAGCAGACGCGCGATAATGACATCTTTCTGGCACGAACAGCTTCGTCTCGACACGAGGGAACATAGTTCGAAAGAAACTCCAGTCACTGTCGTGCGTTCGTTCCCAAATCGCACTCGAATCGCGGCGCGAAAAAATGAAGCCCGCGCTCCTTCTGCTTCTGACTTTCGAGCGAGCCCTCGGATAAACTCGCCTATACCGAAGTGGAAGCGTATGTATCTTTAAATAGATTTCACCAGTGACCGTGTCTTGCAAGTATATTTCACCTAGTATATACAAACTTCGGCTACAAAAATGATTTTACAGTCAGCGATCAATGGTTCGAGCAGCGAATAAAACGCTCGAATAATATCGTTCCTTGCGAAACTCGAAAACGTGAAAAATCGGTTCTCGATCTCGAGACAAACGCTTCTCCATTACTCCCTCGATTCGTCCCTCGATTTACGAAAAATCTTGCCGCTTGGGGATAAAAGTGAAGCCGTCCAGCGAAATGATCAGGAGCGGCATATGGCGCCAATAAAAATTCGTTTAACAGCGTGGCAAGCGACGATTGAGAAACTCATCGAAAGCTGATCTTCGCAAGATCGTTTATCTAATCCTTAAGGCGTCGCAAAAATTCATCTTGAGGGCGTTCCACGAAGATCTTCGCGTAAATTCTCGAACGATCCGTCCGCAACGTCGTGAAAATCCAACGAACAACGTTGCACGAAGACTCCCGCAATCTTCACGCGAACAACAGCCTATATAATCTTCCAGCGCCCATCTGACGTGGCGAACAAACAACGAGCTTAATAAGAATTCGAATCACCTTCGATGAAACGACGCCGGATCGCTGGCAGAGGCGCGTCGAGGAACGGAAGCAGAGAACGTAACCGGATGCGATCCACGCTCGAGTTTCGAGGGAAGCTCGAAGAACTTCGCGAAAGAAGAGTTAATCGATCGACGTCACCGATCATTTACTTATATATATATTTATTTATTTATTTAACTTTTCTCTAAAGGAAAAAGGTGCCAGCGATCGGTCGAGAAAGGTGCGAGGACAGCGTGTAAACGATAAGAAAATTTCGCTAAATTCACACAGCAACGTCACACACGAGCATCGTTATCGTAAAAGCATGCGATTCGAACGTAATCGTTCCGAAAAAGGAAACGCGTCGTTTCGCATCTCGCTAATTCTAATTTTAGTTTTAGCTAAAATTCCCTAAATTATTTTAGAAAAATTCATTACATTATGTTTCGTATAATTTTTTTTTTTTCATTTTAAATCGTTTAATTATACTGGCCGTGTGCAAGGCTATTTTTGCGAAGAACGGCGTGCCCGAGATTCGTTCGTTCTACTTAAGAAACAACGTTGATGCGTGCCTCTAAAAAGAAAATAGTCCAATTTACACGATCGGTAATATCGGTTGCCATCATTGGACTCGTGTAGGTGGCATGATCAAGTGTCTCTGCGTGTGTCTATGCTTGTATATGTACGTGTACGTGTATGTGTGTGTTTGCGAATGTGTTTGCGTGTACACGTGTATGCGTCGATTCGATTATTCGATAAATATCTCTCGTACTTTAATTGCAGCGAGTTCGTAGTGCGTGAAGAAAGCGTCCACGCTTGATCACGAGGACCGAAAGTGTCGAAAATCCGTAAAAACAATGAGAAATCTGACAAATACTCGGCATCAGCGTTAAACGTGATCCTCGATGCAGTCGACGACGCTGCATTCGCGACAAAATCGAAACGGAAAGGACTCGTTTTCGTTTAAAGGCTTCTTACAATATTTACACGATATCTATCGATCTCTATGGTATAGTATCATTTTCCTTCGCTCTCTTTCACTTTCACTCCATACCTCGTCATTTTCTCGTTCATTCGCTCTCACTCTCGCGTGTCGTTACCACGATCGGAATCTGTCGAGTGACAAAGGTGGAAGTGTTCACTGCGTGCATACGTATACAATATATATAATATTATTTATGTATGTATACTATATACACAAAATGTGTTTCACCGTGTCCTCGTGTACGTGTGTCCGTGTATGTCTGTACGCGCATGTGTAGCGTGCGTGTATGTTTGCGTGTGTATTCTTTTTCACCAAATAGACTCTAATAAAACGTATAAACACGTCGGCCTAGCGCGGCGATCATCAACGCGCCATCGTATCGATAATCGAAAACTTTCAATCGCGAACGATAATGATTATCAGATCAATCCAAACCCATCGCCACGCACGTTAATTCGTTTCGTTTTACGTTTCTCCCGTGCTCGAGCGTGAAAATCGTTGAAATTCCGTCGACTAGCACGCCGCGGAATCTCGAAATTTCTATAATAAGAATTTAACCATGCGAATCGATCCTAAGGTAATCGACTAGAGTGACTCTCCATCATCTCTTTTTCTATTTCGCATTTTTTCACCCTCTCCGCCATATTTCTCTAAGTGGAAGCAACTATCGCTGTTCCGCCGGCCGAATTGTAAGAATTCCACGCGAAATTCGCGTCGAGCTTTCTCGTTTCTCACGTTTATCCATTTTTTCTCCTATTTTTCCTTTCCTCGATTTTTCTCTCCGCTTCTCTCGATTCTCGTTTCACGCACTCTTCGATTCACGTTTCGTTTTGCGTTTCGTTTTGCGTTTCATTTATCGTATCGTTAGCTCCAAACGATCGTCTACCTAATTTCGAGCGAAGTTCTCGCGCCGTTAATAAAGACCCGATGCCGATTCACGAGTATATTCCTAGCTGGTTGATATATCATCGATCTCAGAATCCGATGCTTCTCGTGGGGGTGGGTATAGGGGCCCGGGAGGAGTCAGCGCAAAAATTAAGGCCCCAGGGCTGTTTTTCTCTTTCTCTCTGCCTCTCTCGCTTCTTCTCTTTCATACCCTTTTCCATCTCTTTCTCACACTCTCTCTCTCTCTCTCTCTCTCTCTTTTTCTCTCTTTCTCACAAATCTGTGTTTCTTTGGTATGTTCACGCGATTTTTCTCGTTTCTACTCATCTCGTTGAGCTGGCTCCGCGAATGGGGGATTTATCCTGTGCGTACCACATCGACAAGGACAATCGATTATCGTTTCAACCCGCCCATCGTTTTGCGGAATTCCTGTTGGAAAAAATGCTCGTGAAAGTTTTCGTTGGCCACGCACGCTCCGTCTCTCTCTCATTCTCTCTCTCTCTCTCTCTCTCTCTCTCTCTTTCTCTCTCACACACTCTCCGCTTACGTGAACGAACATGTAACTTATGTGAAAATTCTGTAAAACGAGGGATAACGGAAAAAAGCCATTTTACTCTGTATGCCCGAACAACAACTATGAGTTTCTAGATCAGGATCTCTACTTGGTACGGTCACTATCGTACGATCGAAACGGTCGTTGCCGAAATCAACGAGGCATTTGATCGAGATACGATTACGAAAAATAGAATCTACATGTCTGTCACAGCAATGGACACGTTGCTCTGTCACGACGATTACGCCGTTTATCGTGGAACCAGGTTGACAAAACGAAAACGCCAGTTCGCCAATTCTGGCCTCGTACGAAAAGCTCGTACACGGTATCGTGAAATCGCAACGGAATATAGGGTACGTCGGTAAAAACATTCGCGTACATATCTCCTCGCGAGCGTGCACGCGCGCTTCAACAATCCAGCAAATCAGGGCAAAAGCAGCTACGATTGGAAAGTCCAGCGATCTCTACCAAAAGACGCTCGACGCGTCTCTACGAGGCTCTATCTCGTGAACAAAAAGGAAAATCTCGCGTGCACGCCTCGTCGATACGAATAATGAGAAAAAACGATGCAATCGGAGAGATCTACGTCGAGCTAGATCCAAAACGAACAGAAAGAGGAACGAAAATAGAAATGAGGACCCCATGGAGGGGTGTCGTGGCTCTCGTGCGATACGTACAATGGCGTACACTAAGGCTAAAGAGTATCGTAACGGAAAGGCGTACTCTAAACGTGGGACAGCGCGAACAGGGGTCTAGCTCTATACGGTGATCGAACAAAATGAACCATCTTACGGGTAGCGACAGGAAAGAAACCCCACTAACAGACCAGAGCGACAATTTTCTTCGCTACGGTAGCGTAAGCACGTTCGTACGTTCGGTAGCGTACCAGGTGGCGACCCCACTAAAGAGCAGTGGTGCGCAGGTGGGGACAGCGCTGTAGCGACAGGCCCCGGGGCCCCAGCTCCTAAATGGCGTTCAATGCGCGCGGGTCTTGCTGCTGGCGACGCCTCGATGTGCTGCCATATTCCACGCCACTGACGTACGATTCCTCCTCGTTCCCGTAGTCCTGTTCACCACGGTCGCCCCGATCACGATCCATCCTCTCCAGCCTCGATCTTCGAGTGCCCTCGCTCATGTGTCCGCCTGATCCTAGACGGGGGACAAACCAGTTCTGTAGTAGTGAAAACTCCTCGCTGTCAACGAGCCTGAATTTCTGTAACCTTTACGATACCTGCGTTTCGTGCTTCTATTCGTCGTTCCTTCGTTACAGAAATTAGGCTCGCGTCTCGTAGAACGCGAAATTCGAAAGGCTAGATGGATCTTTGGAATCTTTAACCCATTAAAGACCAAATTATACCGTTTATTCAATAATTTCGTAATTATAGTCGTAATGGGTTAATTTTCCTTTTCAAAGTTGAATATCGAAATGCAAATAGCGATATAAAATTATTTAATATATCGATAAATGAATTTATCGATTTCTCGGGTAATTTTCAAAGGTATTACGTGTTCCCTTCGAATTTTTGCGAGTCAAGCTCGACGAGCCAAAGTCCCGGTATTGCCGAAGCAAGAATCTTTGGACGTCGAGCTTGAAATTGAAATTCCATCGGCATCACTCAAAAACTATATTACAGTAGAGGGTGTTACTTCGACGTTAAGCTAATTTCACAACTAAACGGTGAGGAGCCAGTCAATCGGTCTACGTGTCACACGCATAAACAACGCAACGGCACACCACTCACAGTGCATGCAAGCTAGCTATGCAAAAAGAACTGGGGTGGGTAAAAAAAGACAAAGAAAAACGAGAGGGACCAAAAAGAGACGTTTCGCAAAGACTCCGACGTTCGAGCTATCGATGCGTTGGAGCGCAGACATCGAGATGTAGACGAGGTGAATTTTGCTGCAAGTCCTCCTCCATGGACTTGCTTGGACTGGAAAAAAATGGCACTATTCAAAGTGGAGCTCGTGATCGTTAAGAGAGAGAGAGAGAGAAAGAGAGAGAGGAAAAAAAAAGAAAAAAAGAGGAAGAAGGGGGGAGCACAAAAACAAGCGAATGTCCCAAAAGAAGGATTTCGAAGATCTGTCCGTGAGAGCGCGACGTGGAGTTGCTCTTCGAAGGAATCGCGCGTATACAGTCCGTTCCAAAAGTCTGATCCTCTCGGTTCCCATGGCCACGTCGCGTTAATGCTTCGTTAGGCTACTCTATCAACCTAGTCTATGTGAGAGGGGTTGGTGAGGGGCTTGCGAGAGAACGAAAAATAAATGGTAAAAAAAGGAAACGAACGAATAACAGGATCGCAAAAAGAAATCGGAATTGCGACGAGAACGTAGGGAATCACTTCCACAAAACAACGGAAACCGTCTCGACGAATGCATCGAATAAAACCAACCAAAAGGAGGCAGGGGGAGGAAAGAAACATAAAATAAAGTAACATAGGAACGAGTAAACAAAAGAGACGGAGAAGTGAGGAACATTTAAGGTGAACCAAAGTAACCAAAAAGTAAACCAATCGATTAAATGATAAATCCTTCTCTTTGGGCAAGAGAAACAAGGTAGGTCCCGTTTCACCGGGCCCGTGCACCAAACCCGTCTGTACTTACAACGCGGCCTCATTAAGGAGTTTCCCTATTAACACAGTCTCTAATTCTCTCAATCGTCATCGTAATCCCCCGTGTACTAAGAGTTCGGGGAGGGGGAGGACGACACAGTACAATTGGTCAGCCGGTCTACGCCGTAAAATCTCATCCGCGATGAGGAGGAAGCGTGGAAGAGTGTCGGTCGGTCTAGGCCCGACCGTCGTCGTGGGTGAGAGCGTTCTTTAGCTCGACACTTTGGGCTAGTTCTCGTCACCCCGACCATAGGTGACCTGGCCCTGTTTTCGGATGACTCCCGTGGCAGCCACCGCCTCCACGGCTTTTACACGTAAACAAAGAGAACATCGGAGTCAGAGCTGATTGCCGATCGTACTTGGACCTGGTGCTTTCTTTCCCCGTTTCTTTCATTTTTTACTCTTTATTATTATTTTGTTTTGTTCTTTGATTTATTCTTTTCCTTCCGTACGTTTCGTTCGAATCGAGCTTCGATTCCGGCCAGTGGCGGTAGTTTCCCCCACTGGAATATATTTTCTTCCCCGCGTATCGTCGTCGTTTGGTGGAGATTATTGCGATTCGTCGAATGAAGGAGAATTTTAGGATGAGACGAGAGAAAAAAAAGACAAAAACTATGCATAGGTGGGCGAACACGCGCTTCCTCGCGTAGTGTTAGTCTGGCGTAGCGTGGTACACGCGTGGATTTAACGTGATCAACCCTTAACTGGTAGATTGCAGGGAAATCTCTCTATTTCGAGAGTTTGGACCGTCTTCTGCGGTCACCGTCCACGTGACACTCCGCGTTTTCTTCTCAGTGTCTATTAATACCTTTTGGACATGGACTCGTTGGAAAATTAGACGTTCGAAGACACGCCAATGCGGAGTAATAGAATCGAAGCGAACGTTTCCTCGTATCTCAACGACACGAGAGTGTAAATCTCGAACGCGATACCAGTTGAGGGGTCTGGAGAAACGAAAGAACGAATGCACGTTCCATGAAACGTGATAAGTTCGTTCGCGACACGACTGTCAGGAAGACGTACACGATGCTGGTCTCCGTATGGAAACTCTTTTGTCCGGGACGACGACGAGCCGACATCGCGAAGGCGTGTTCTCTTACACGGAGCTATTAATGAATATTAATAGTAGAACAGACGTCACGGGCAAATCCACTCGTGCGAGGGTAGCAGAGAGTGCGCGGCGTGCACGAGGTAAGCTGCAGCTAAAATATAATAAACGATCGCAGAGATGAGGGTGAACGAGGCGCAGATCGTCTAGAGGGATGATCGTGTGTTTCTGGTGGAGCGCAGAAGGAAATGGAGGTGAACAAAGAAAACAAGATGAGAACGTGGTTGAAACTAACGAGAGCGAACGCGCCATTGTCTTGCACAGGTTGATACGAGTTTGCCGATCCATATATCGTCGCTGAAAAGAAATTCAATGTAAAGGTGTCGTGGTTTTTATGCGGGTATCTTTCTCCGTGATACGTGTTTGCCTTTTCCTTTGCCAATTTAAAGACTGCTAGTTCTTTGCTCCTCGAATCATGCAGTACGCGGAAGTGTAGCTTGCACGATTTAAACCAGCGTTGTTCGCCGTCGAAACTTTCTCTTTGGAAGAAGAGAAAAAAAGGAGAAGAAATAAAGGGAAAAAAAGGAAGAGGAGGAGAAAAAAGAACGTGGCACGATATTAAAATTTCCGTATAAATAGAAGAAAGTAGGACGAAGAAGATTCTTCGAGTTTCAGAGTTTAATTCGAACAGCGCTGATCTAAATGGAAGAAAAAGAAGTGCGGGGTATTTACAACGGAAAGAGCAAGAGAGAGAGAGAGATAGAGCGAAAGAGAAAGAGAGATAAATAGAGAGAGAGAGAGAGAGAGAGATAACTTCTCGCGCGTCATTCAAACGCTATAGCGTGCATAGGAAGAAGAAAGGCGTGCAGAGCGTACATCGAACGTATCGTAATAATTTACAAGGCTGAGTATAGGTTGCAACCAGCGACTAGCAGTCTTTCGTGTAAGAATAACTCTACATTCTAACACGAATCCATGCAACGGCTACGTGCAGCTAATGATACAAGTTACTACAGACGTGTTTCATTACTAGCTTCGAATGTCGCCACTGCTCTTTCTCGAGGATCGAAGTCTCTCGATAACGGGAAAACGAAACAAAAGGGAAACGAACGTGTGCTTGTTCGTTTTTATTAAAAGAATTTTCATCGATTTATCCCCGTTGCTTCCCGCCGATCTTTCACCGATCGTTTTCTCCTCGTTTTCGCACTTCTTCTCGAGCGAGTAACGGAACACAGGCTGCGCGACGTTGGACTCAGAGAGAAAGAGAGAAAGAAAAAGGAACGTGTGTACAATGTTGCGCTCGAGGAAAAGGTTGGGTTACCTCTTGGCTCGTGGCCGTAGTAACTCTCATGATGGGCACCTGAAGAGGCAAGAAGAAAGTGTCGAGTGTTAGTTGACGGAATTGGGGCTCGTTAGAGTTTCGAGTGAGCTAGAAACCTCGACCCAGCCCATCAGGCCGAGAGATGAGGATCGCATCGAGGCGGTGTCAGAAGGATTAATTGATAACCGTGAACGAGAATAAATGATGATGATAATGTCGCGATCAACGAGCCAATGATTCGCTGTTAGATCGCACCGACCGGGACGCGATTTTTCCGTGTCGTGTCTGCAATTTCCTGTCGATCCACCCGATCCAAATATCCACCCCTTTTAAACGCAGATACTCCACCCCCTGAACGGTTCAAGCGTGTCCCCTAACCAGGCCATTCTCCGCGATAATGAAACTCACGTAGAATATTTGTACTTGGAAACATTCGGCTACGAGATCCCCGACGAAGATGTACGTCCGTAATGGAGGTGTGGCAATAAATGGAATACCTGATGTGACGCGGGGTGTTAGCGCGTCGACGGGTGCGTCCGGCGCAGGAATCGGACGTGGCACAGTCGCGATCACTTGAGGGTGCGTGGCTCTCCAGTAGGCTTCCAGGTACTCGGCCACGTGCTCGCAAGCCTCCTCCAGCTGATTCTCGTCGAGGATCACGTCGAACATCTCCGGCGGGCACTGGGCCAGTTTCTCGGCAGCCACGATTTGTACGTTCAGGTGTCTGATCTGCGACTTTCCACGCGACTTGATCAACCTCTCGAGCACTTTGTGCGACGAAATCTTCAGGTAGACGATCGTCGGCGCTAGACTGGTCTTCGCTAACTGCGACGGATGATTGATCGTGTCGCAGTCCAAAACTACCAACTGGAAATTAATAATCCCTAAGAGGGGTGATGTTTCATGGAGCGTGGATCGAACGGTTGATGAAGTACCTGAAGGGTCCTGGCGAGCTCGAAAATCCTCTCTATCTCTGCTTGAACCTCCGCCAAGCAGCTGCTCCTGCTGGTAGATCGTTCCATGATGGCTCGTTTCGTTGGATTGTTCAATAACGATCTCTTTGCCAGTGAAATGTCAGCCATTACCCTAGTGATAATTATTCTGAAACCACCGTAATCGATGATTAATTACCCGACACGAGGAAAGTCTTCGTACGCGAATCTTGGTTAGAGTAAGGAAAAGAGAATCGTTCTTTCGAGGAAGCTTCGCGTACCTGCCTCGGAATCGATGCTTCAAGTAATCGAACAACGCCTTCTGCATCATGTCCGTCACCTGATAACCCTTCAGCGATGGACCCACCAGGACGACAGGCCTCATAGATGGTACAACGTCGTACGGCGTGGTAGTTTCCTGAAAACCCCACGAACGAATCAGTCCACACCGATCAAGAGGAGGTCCTACACGCCAGGATCAGCCCCAGGATAGTCTCTCACTTACGTAGGACTTCGAGAGCACGGAATGCAACATTGAAAACATTGAAAACAGTTAATGGCCACGTCGACTGGAGACATGCGACCTACCGTCCTGCACGGCCAAAGTCCTTTTCAGGGTCGCGTCGCGTCGCAGCGGCGATCATTCTTCAGCTTCCAAAGGCACTTTGGCCAAGCAGTGTGTTCGATAACTACTCATCGACCTATGCTATCAACCGTCTCCTACTGATTACTAATTCCTTTCTCTACAAGCCGTTCTACCGTGTTACCGCGAACCATTTTCAGCAGTAAGGACAATCCTTTCATCGTGATGGCATAGTCGACGAGTTCCTCGTCGTCAAGGTTGGTAAAATGGTCCGCCGAGATCGAACTTAGAGTTATCATTCGATTATCGATCGATGCTAGAAATTTCTACTCACATCGACGCACTGGTGTATACGTTAAAACGGGGTAACAATGTAAAGAAAGGAACGTCTGTCAGGTTTACACCTGAGCAGTTGGCACAGGTACGATCGTCTTCGAAAGCGATTCCTCGCTATCGATACTGAGCTTGCGAGTTATTAGGTATACTCTTGGTCGAATAGTTACGACTCTGAATCCTCCATGTACTTCTCTGTCCCATCCGACTGTCTTCTGCTCCTTCGTCGTTCGACAAACGTACACGATGCACAGAGGGGACGAGAGAGAGAGAGAGAGAGAGAGAGAGATTTCGCAGTATCATACACACAGTCGCATACTCACAGAAATAAATCTGCTAGTCCTCGCGTGGCCCACGATATTTTCTAGCACCGACAGATAAATTTAGACGCGTAAGCCTCGTCCACGTCACCGGATTTATCGCACACGCCGAATCTTTGCCAAACCGACGAAAAATGTTGATCGGTACCCATCGGAACACGCGGCAACGTCATCCCTATCTATCGAGCGTCCAGGCTCCTTCCCGGAACCTCGAGCAGCTCGAACGTGGACGAGACTCGCGACCGTGTACTTTCTAGCTGTCGTCTACTAGGCTACAGAGACTCGAGAAGAATCAAGCACGACGTCGGACGAGTGTACACAAAAAGGATCGGAGTAGTCACAGACACTGCGATTCGTCGAGATCGTTTACCGGCTTCTTGAAGAAGTTCTTCCGTTTCTCCTTAGCCGGTGGCGTGGTCAACGTTGCCTTACCGCCGCGCACGCTGTCGCTGTCGTCACCTGTCGAGGAGAATTTCACTGGAATTAGTCGTGGAAACGATCCGCCGGCTCTATCGTGCATCGACGAGTGTCCCTCTTTCTCTCAAGGAAAACTAGTGAGAAGCGATCGTATGCAGACTAAGTAACTTAGGGTACTAGTTCGATGCGTCGAATTGATTGTCCGGAGATCGTGGAAGCAACTACTGAAGATTCATTTACAGCAGAGAATTCTAAGAGTGTGTGTACTTTCAGGGGTCTGTGCGTGTTCGTGTAGAGAGTAGAGTGACGATGGGTAGGATCGATTGATCGTATACGCGAGTCTAACTGAACTGAGCGAGGCGAGTGAACATTTGCCACTAATATCAAGCGTGTGAGTTAGTATCCGTGCGTGGGTCATTGATGAAATAATTGGTAGAATTCGTAAGAATTGGGATTTTACACGGCACGACAACGGGAGATTTCCATTTTACATGTTTTTCACGAAATGTTTGAAAAGGTGGACAGAGCACATGCAAAAGCTGCCAATGACCAACGCACGAGGACTCAACTCCATATGGTCTAACTCGCAACTCGATTGCTAGGCGAGGAACCACACCTCGTGACTAAAAACGGGCAGAGAAGAGTGGTGAAGGTAATTAATAAGCTCGCGACAGATGCGTGTGTGGAAAGAAACGAAAGCTACAAGAGTGTTTGTATTTTATTCAGATACTTAGGGTCCACGAGGTCATTCTAGTGTTCGTATTTTCTTTCCCTGTCGTGTATCGTATTTTCTCTGTCTCTCCTATATTTCTCGCTTTTCTTTTCGTTCGATATTCTTTCTTTTCTTTTCTTTCTTTTTTTTTTTTTCTACGAGGACCCGAGATCTCCCTCCGTCTGTTTTCACTTTTCTGTCGGGCATCGATCGGTCGAGACGAGAGAATTGCCGAACTGGTCGGTACACCGGTGGTTTTCGTGGCGGAAAGAAAGAAGGACGTGCTAGGATACCTGGTGTAGGTGGTGTGGAACCACGTGAGGGCATACCACTCTCGCCAAGGTTCCCTGAAGACCCTCCACGCGCCGAATAGAGACCCTTCGTGCCACGTGCGACGCTCGCCTGCTGCCTCAGGGCCTCCAATTTCACCGGGGATGGTATGAAACCGACGTCCGAGTCCTCTTTCACGAGCCTACCTATCCACCAGTTGTTGTCGTACTTCTCCTGGAGAGTGTCGTAGACCGTCGTTACTTTGGATTGTTAATTGGACATCGTTTGTACGTGTGACGGTAACTATTTCAAGCTTGGAGTCTCTCTCTGAGCTTTCCAGACTATTGTCAGGGTGGCAAGCGAGAGGGAGAACGTCTAGGTTCCCGGATGAATTTTAAAGGGAGACTGGAAGGTGGAAATAAGGGGTCGGAAACGTACCTTGATGTGCAGGAAGTCACGGACCTCGAAGCTGACAGCCGAGCCGTGGACTGGCGAATCGTCGTCGACGGATCCGTCATAGCTCACGTTGGTCCGCACTGCAAACGCTACCGGTTTCGTCTGAATAATTTACAAAAGCCGTGGATTAACGATTCTCGTGATAGCTCGACGCGGAGGGTGGCGGGAAAACAATCGGGTTAGATTTTTCATAGGAATTTTCGTTGGAAAGGCACGGGTGGCAACGTTACAGGTGAAAAAGCCTGTCCCATCGTTCGCGATATCGACTTTTTTATTGGGTCACGGCGTATAATCCCTTCTACCGCGGCGATACTCGTGCAACTGTAATTTAAGCATAAAGTAAATGCCGATGAGATCACGGATGATCGGTACATTGTCAATGTACCACGCGACACACCGGCGAGGAATAAAAGCGTGATACACCGGTAGGGTGCTGTCCGCGTTTGCTACGACGTTCTACCCCTCGAAGGTCGTGGCTAGTTAATCAATATTCATTTATTGTTCAGCCGAAGGTGATTCGACTGATCGACCGTGCATGCCGGAGCGCTTCCACGGGGGACTTTTCATAATTCAAAACGGCCATGCTCAGCCGCTACGCGCCGCTCTAAATACTCGGCCCGATTCCGCGAAACTCCTTACCCCATAATCTATGCCGAATTTCGAAATTTTCCTATCTCCGTGCCTCGATACTCGGAGATTCGAGGGTTGGAGAATTTCTAAAATTAAAGGAAAGCATCGAAGTGACCTAAAAATTGGATAAACCACGAGACAATGGTCTATCCTCGGCGCCGTTCAAGAGTTCATCGACATAAACTGCAAGACAATTAGGCAATCGCGTGGTACGTACACAGCGATGGAAGAAAGAGCGTGGAACGGAAGCGTCGAAACAGGCGTCGGGTAATTACCGGTTCACCGAGTTCGAACGCGTTGTACCGGCATTAGAGGGGAACGTATAATTAAAGGCAATAATATCACGGCTGGCGACGCGATATAATGCATTTGCATCTATTGTCGAAAACAAAGGATGGCGAGTGGTTTAATTGGTTTCGCCAAGCGGCCTCCGCGCGAAATCTCATTAGTCTGCCGCGCGTATTCATTGACACGCTTCTCATTCCTGGCGGACAACTTACACACAATCGGCGCGAGTCGAAGGCATCGACGCGGTTCGGAAGTGGCCGATCGATAGCAAACGATTTACGAAAGACCGGTGGAAAAACAAGCCACGGGGGTGGAGAAAGGAGAGGTGAAACTGGAACATGCGAAAGATCAATGACTTACCCTGGCTTTTTCAAGTTGATTGAGGGCCTGCCTCTCCTTCTCGCGACGCAAGCTCTCTTTCTCCTCGTCCAGCGAGAGATCCGAGCTCGGCTGTGAGTAGTTCGAGTCTGCCGAGCCCTGAAATACAAAACAAACTCGTTTAAATTGCGCCTCCGAGCCAGCCGCGTTATTACGTTTCGAATCGTTATCGAATCGTTACCCTGCTGTAACGAATCCACTTCGATTTCTCGCGATAATAAGAAGAATAATAATACACCCCACCTTTTCTCGCTGCTCGCGAGCACTCGCGATTTCTCCGTCGCGATTATTCCCATGCGTGAATACGATACGTTAGCACGGCGAATGCCGCTGGTGCAAAGCGTGTCCCGGTGAGGTTGCAATTAAAACGCGAATTGGAAAACGAAAATTCCATGTTTTTTCTGCATTGTACCCGAGTTTCCACGAGTTTGTCGTATATCGGTAACCGGTGTGACGCGACACTCGCGAGATTTTTCGCCAAGTTCGCGTCCAACTGCACGGTGCTTCGGTATTTTGCCCGTGGAAGCCTTGGAGAAGTTCTCAAGGGCTCCGAGTGTCAGAGACCATTAGTTTAAAAAGAGAAGTTTCGTCGGGTCCGACGCGACTTCGCCTGCCCGACCCTAAACTCTTCGCCTCTTCGCAAACACCTTAACACGGTGGTTCGTAATGGTTCGCTTCGACGAAAATTATTCACGCGGACCACTCGCTTCCTCTTATTTTTAATTCCTTTCGTTACACCTGTATGAAACGCCACGAATCTATAGAATAGCGTAGCATTCGTTTTTTCCCAGAAACTTGTCGATAATAGGCGACCAAGTGGAATCAGCCCGTACCGGGTCAGACGAGAATTCGTTTCACGGATACGCACAGAATTCTCAGGAAATTTTTTCGTTCCTAAATTAAGATAAAGGTCGAAGAAAGGTTCGGGGTGCTAGTGAAACGAGACGCGTCTCGTAGATTCCCATGGGAATACGGCAACGCTCAGGTGAAACTCGAAATCCGAGCGCGGCTGAATGCCAAAAATGCGCGTTACGAAAACGACTCGTGCGATTTGCTATTCGTTCGATGCAATTTCTAGAATAATCGAGCGACGATTGGGCAAACGACACCGGGAATTATCGGCGAGAAAAATTAGGATTCTATCTATACGACGGCGCGACGCAATTCGTTGCGTCAGCTCGCGAAACATCCTGCCAAACGTCTCAGGAACACGGCTCTTAGCGTAACCGCCGACGACGCGGCGAAAAGGACGTCGGGTCAATTAATTCCCCTTATGACGAATTAATTGGATCGATTGCGTGGTACGTTCGGAAGACTTATCGATGTCTCGTGTACGCGTCCGCGACCTATGGGCCGGGAACGAGAACGAGAAATTCATCGGCGAGGACGACGCAGTTTCTAACAGTTTTATCGATCCTGGCCCAACAGCGACATTGACGTATCGATCCACCTTTCAAAGTCAAAGCTTTTACCTGTCCCGTAATTAGATACTTAATTAAATGCAAAGGATGCCCAGCGTGTGTCGCGCCACCTTGCGCCGTCGTTCCATTTGCATTTCAGCGTGTTGCATCCGACGTCCCGGCACCCCTTGCCGATCGCTAAATTCACCCGAGTTAAGCTGCAAAGAAGGAGAGAAGAGAGAGAGAGGGAGAGAGAGAGAGTCGCATTCGTTTACGAAACGATTCTCCGCTACTCTCAGCTTCTCACCCTTAACGGAGTGTGCGGCAGGGGGTGAGTGGCGGCTATCTTTTTATTCTCTCTTCCTCTCTGTCTCTCTCTCTCTCTCTCCGTCCCTCTCTCCGTGCTTCTCGCCGTCGGGACGATGAATTCATTCGGTCGGGGCTTGTAACCATGCCAACGGCCTTTACTTAATCGTCTCTCTACCTGTTCCCCGTGCGTGACTGTGTAAACTCGTCTATGCGTGCCACCGCGACCTTCTTCGACCCTCCGGGGGTTCACGAGGACGGGAATGCTTTCGAGCAATCGCATGTGACGAGTTTTTAGCCACGGAATTTTTATGTCACCGGGTAACGCGTGGAAATTTCCCGGTCGATCGACGTAAAACTCGAGAAACCTTCGAAAATTTTCACGGCATATATTCGACCGACTAATTTCGTCGGTTTATTCGATAGACCAATACGAATAGTAATAAAGGTTAAAGTTAGAGGATGAACGTAAGAGGGTGGCAGCGAAGGTTGGTGAGGAAAGAATGGCGGCGCAAGACAAACAAAGTAATAAAAAGTCGAGAGGAAAGGGAAAAAAGGGAAGACGGCGAATAGGACGAAAACAGCGGCCGCAAGAGCAATGGAGCATAGTGGAAACGCTCGGTTTCACGCTCAAAATGTAAACCAGATCGATTTAGATTGCAACGTAAAGGATCGAGGCAGCGCAGCGATAGCACGCCTGGCCGGTTTTATTTCACGCCAGGCTGATTAATGTAAAACTCGTATGACGCACCGCGCACGCCGCGGAGAACCCTTTATAAAATCGAGGAAATTGACGAAGACGCCTGGCAGGCGCTAAGCTCAGCCCTCGCAACTAATTTACTTTGTGTAAGGAGGCCGATTCATTGACACCCTTTATCAAACGCGCCCGCGTTGCAAGCGTTATCCTCTTATAACCCTGCCTGAACACGCGTCACTTGTAAGAAAAATAACGTTAACGTGGAAACTAAAAAAAGATCGTTCCTCAACATGGAGCACCATGAACGGGGTGGTCACCCACTCGTACTATCGGTATCGAGTGTAAACAATTGCGTATTTATACGACCTCCGGTTTAATTTAATCAATTACCACAGGTATCCCCGGTAATCTGCTTACCGGCTTATTTCGAATTCGCGAAGAAATATCTGATTACATAATCGAAAGAAGAGGACAAGAAAGAAGCAATAGAACCATCAGGTCGATCGGGTTAGTTTAATTAATTTTGTCAGAGATTTGCCAAAGCGAATCGTATCCGTAGGAAATGGAAACCTCGTAACATAACCTAGAAGCAACGTGGGAAAGTAGAATAGAAGAGAGGCGCGAGAAGAGGTAAAGGAGGAGAAGCAACAAAGGGAGCAAGAGAAATTACGATACGATCTTGCACAAGTACCAGCGTTAAATCCCCAAAGACCAGCAATCTCCTTTCGCAGCCCTCGGCAGACACGCTGGAAGGAGAATTGAAAAGACGGTTGCCGGTTGTGTACCTGCGTAAATAGCTTGTTGTAGCCAGAATTGTGTTGATTGTATCCGATCATCGCCGGAAGCCAGCGCCGTCGTCGCCAGGGCCGTTGTTCGGGTGGCTTTTATCCACTTTCGCCGGGCCCCTCGACTCGGTTATGGCCCAGTTTCGTTCTCTCGACCGGCTCTGTGGGCACGACGTTGATCCGCTAAGCTCTCGCTTAGCACACGCTACCGCATTGCGTCTTTTCCGCCTCTGCCTGGTCCTCTTTCACCAATGGAACAAACTCGGCACCTTGGTGCTTGTTGGAAAAGTTACGCGGGATTTTCGCGGCGTCGCTACGCCATGCTGGACGGCGCGAGGCCGTACACGGCTCCGGAACTTCCCTCAGGCGCTCTTCCTCGACTTTTTCCGCTTCCGTTTGCAAGCCATCCAAACGCCAGCCGCGTTCTACTCCCGGCTTTCGAGCCTCATCGCGACTCGACCACCTGGTGCTTCGACTTTCGCGTACATCGCTGGTTCCTTCGCCAGGCGACCTCGCTCCTCGACGATGCCCTCTTGGTGTTCACCCTCGAACACGCTGTCGACAATACGACCCTTCGATAGAACGGAGGCCGGGGGATGCGAAAATTGGGCCAACGAACGCAGGCACGAGCCGAATTTCCTCTCGAGCGGGCCAGTTTTCCGTCGATGGATCGAATATTATACTCGTAGGATAATGGATCTAGGACTCGAGGAATCTACCGTTCAAAATTCAAGTTCCTCGAAGAAAGTTTCTTCCGTGTAACTTAGCATTCTCATTGTCTATCCTTTCCTTTCCATCAGTTCCCCAAGAATATTCGTTCCTTTGTATACGCTTTATCGTATAGTCCAGATCAAGTCGTCATTAAAAATACCGGCATAGTATTTATAAGTTTCTCAAAGAGAGCCCGTTGCTCGTAATCTTCTTATTCCCATTCCCTATTCTTCCCTTCTGATCATCCTATAAAGAATTCCTATTCTTTCATACGCGTATTGTTATACACCCCGAGATCGATCCACCGTCAAAGGTAGACTAAAAAGAAAGTAGCAATTTTAAAAAAATATCCCATTGTTTGCCATCCGACTCTTATTCTTCCCTCCTAATCGTTCTTCCAAGAACTCCTGTCCGTCAGTGTATTACCGGAGAATCGACCGAGGGAAGTTACCGCGAGAACCTGTCTTCCAGACCACGAAACCATCTTCATAAATCTCTCTCGCATGGTTTCACGATGGATCGTTTTATACGTCGATTTACACCCCCTGGTCGGTACCAGAATGGCGATCGTTTCACCGCTCTCGCGAAATATGCCGATATAATTGCCCCGAAGAAGCTGGATCCGAAGGAGAGACCGACGTCTTGGACGCGCGCAGGTCCGAGTTAATTACGTTATGGCAATTAAAGCGACGACCCTGGCTCGCTGTCCACCATGGACGCCTGCAGCATCCCCGACACGGTCGATTTGATCGGTCGCGAAGTCCGGTCACGTAACACGAAAACCAGCACCGAGTCCACGTCGCGTATATTCGTTCTCGCGTACATGGAAGCCAAGCTTTATTTCATCGTTCGCTCGATGAACGGTTTGAAACGATCCAGGCCAGATCCAAGGTCCCCCGGCGGCCACGATGTTCTCGCGAACGCGATCGTGGTATCGTTTTAAACGATATTGCTTATGTAAATGAACAGTGTCCGTACACCCGGTTACGTGTCCCGGGTCGGCTCGTTACGCGTTTAATAGCCGAAGGATCGAGCCACGGTACGGCTTCGATCATGTGTGGTCGCGACGAAAGATCTTTAAGAGGATTCCAGACTTATAACCGGCGAACGGGTTACACACGCGATGTGGAACACGAGCGAATTCCTAAACGGTGCCGGGTTACGAGACCGTGTTCGCCATAGTGGACGGCGAGCGAGAGTGAGAATAGAAATTAGATTACATTACGGAAAAGCTCGACGACCCGCGCCCGACTGGCTAACCACACGCGATTCCCTCGATCGTGCTACGGATAATTGATCAGCACCGATGCTATCCGAGCTAACAGCTTCGCTGTTCGTGCAACGACCGGTGGAAAGCGAGACGATTCGAAAAACTCGGCTGTACGGAATTATCGGAGCCACGGGTGGAGGGCAATCGATTCCGTTGACCTCTTTGTAACCGTGTGCCGTGTCGAGTGCGCGATCCTTTTGTAAACAGTGGCCGATTATGCGAAAGGGAAGCGACGACCAAGCACGCCGCGATAACGCTGCCCTTTTCGCTGCGCGCGATTATCACTCGAGGCGTGAAGATTCGGGAAGACGCGCCGGAGAGAAGCGAGCCCTCGTTCGCGGATAATGGCAGTGTCCTTTGAAGAATAATAGGCTCTCCTTATCCACTCCTTATCCAGTCGAGCGTGCTTTTTGTCTTGCTCCGAACACGACCGCGACGTAATTTGCTCGGAGAGCGTGGACGATAAGCAGCGCAAAAAATTCGGCAGATAAGAGCGAAGCGGATAGAGGAAAAAGGGGCGAAACGAGAGGGAGAAAGGGAAGAAACGGAAACAACGTTGGAGGGTTGGTGGTTAAGGGTTTGGTCGGTGGTTTGGTCGGACACTTGACCGGTTCGCGAAATCCACGGGGTTACGAATGCACGAAAACTCCAAGTCAGGTGGGGGTTGTATGAAAGCGGAGGACGCTCTCGGAAGCGGGTCAACGACATCGTGGAGTGGCGAGTTCACGTTCATGCGATCGACTCGGCCCGCCGCGAGGCGTTATCAACATTTATCGAAAAGGCCTGCCTGCGTTCCGTCGAGTAGCCCAATTTTTTCCCCTCACACATGCGTCCGGATGGACCTCCTTCCTCGTACGCTGTCTCGGTAAAATAGTCCGTCTTATCCGACAATTAGAAATGTACCTGCGTTCGATCGTCTGGCGCGGAAGTAGATAAGGAAAACAAATATCAACAGCTTGGAAACGTCGAAAAGTAGCCGGGTCGCGTGCGTGTTCCGTCGAGCCTCCCGGCACGACGCGTGTTCACGGCGAATTGACGGTGGAGCAAAACCACGTCGAGAGGTCGGCACGTCGGCTAAGCGTCGAACACCTTTTTCCCAGCGAAGGAAAACATGGCTCGCAGGAATTTTTCAGAGTACACTGAACCCCGATGGCACCACGGAGGACACACGCGCGACTCGACGACGATGGGGAACGACGTTTCTCCGCGTACTGACACTACGTGCTACGTCCCCGCGAACGCGAATCGCGTCCCTGCCTGGGTTAGTTGATACATCGGCCTAAGGGTTTGCCGACTCACCCGCTCTGTGGCGCCACCGAGGAAGCCGGACGACACCCCCGTAACTATATCGATCCACCACCCCTCTTTCGCCGCCGATCTTCGCCACCCGTTGCGACCCACACGACAACGCCAGGCCACTGCACCCTGAAGGCAACGTGTCCTATCAAACCCTACGACTATACGCCTTCTTGCTAACGTGTGTCCGTGTGAGATCCGAGAGACCGAGGGTGGTGGATGTAGCGCCTGGTAACGTGTGTGCGCCGATCCGAGTCGAATCGCGGAACCACGAGGCGTCTTCGTCGCGTTCTGCGGTCAAAGGTTCCTACCACCGAAACTGTGTCATTCGGATGAGTCGAATGTTTGGCCGATGAGTTTGCGGGTCATAGCGGTCCGCTCCAGAATAGACGCGAGCTTTCAGCGTTACGAAGGGCACCGTGGCCGTCCGAGCTTCTTCGTCCCGACTGATGGATTCTTCCACGGACGTGTCATCGAGATATCCTATTCGTATCGAGTGTCTCCTCGTCGACCTCGAATTAACCATGGAATCTTCCATCGTTCCTTTGCTGAATTATTTACCTCGTGTCATCTCGGAGTACACTACAGAGGCATAGACGAAGCGAGAAATTGTATCGAGTGCAATTGTATGGAATAATCGAATCCTCGATGTTAATCATCAATGACGAATTATCGTCAGAATTCCTCCATCCACCGGATTCGCCCCGGGCTGTCCAATTCGACGACAATGCGACTCGTTTGCACGAGACTTTTTCACGCGAGTTACAGGTTGGCTCAAAATCTGGGTCAAGCTGATACACTCGCACGCGTCGTTCTTTCACCTTTGAATCCGTACCTTCCGGGGATCGTCGGGGTTATTAGGAAAAAAGCTCGCACCGTTCGAATTTCCTGCCGCACAGAACGCAGACCGTTTGTTACGTAAACGCCTCGACAAAGAACGTTTGTTCGGCGCAAAGGAACAACTTAATTAGGAGAGGGTAATTGGCAGATAAGTTCGGAACGTGGCACGAGCCGATAGTCGGACGCGCATGTACGCTCGTTACAGCGAGCGCGACCGCAAACCGATCGAATCGAGGCATCCTCGCGTCGAGGTTTGCATAGCCGCGTGTTCGATACGTCGATCCATCGCGACGATGACTATAGAAGCGAGAAGATTCTAGGGCTCTAGAATCCGAGAAGAAGCCATATCCGATTTGCAAATGATGCAAAACGCGCATCGCAGAAGGCTGATTTGGCAAACTTGGCGACCGAGAGGACACTCGGGCCTCGAAGGACGTCGCAGCTATTTCAGTAGAAACGCGGCATTAGAGCATCCTGTCATTTAAAGTACAATTTTAAGAATAGACCGGTTACACAAGGCATTCCGATGAAAATCATTCTATTACACTACGATTTTTTCACCGATCTATCCCTTCTTAAATCCTCTCTTGCGCTTCCATTCTTATAAAATGGAACGAGATTCGCTCTAATTTAACGCTAGACGTACCAAGCATGGTCAAATGACCCTTTTCAAAATTTACTTTATAATTGTACATTTATCGTTATTTATTTCGCTCATTTCACTTTCCGTAAATCCTTATATTATCTGATTGTTTAATTTCTCGCTTCCCGTTTTTCTATTTATCCGTTCTCAAATTGCGTTCTAACACTTCCATTCTTATGAAATGGAAGGAAATTCGCTCTAATTTAACACTAGGCGTATCAAGCATGGTCAAATGACCCTTTTCAAAATTTGCTTTATAATTGTATATTCATCGTTACCTCTTCATCTGATTTTCTCTAAATTCTTATACTATCTGATTCTTCGATTTCTCGCTTTCCGTTTTTCTCTTAACTTATTTCTTACCGAGAAAAATTCTTTGCATACCTTACGTACAACGAGTTATGATAAGAATAGGTACGGTTACTGTTAAAAACAAGAGGGTTCATGAAGGAGAACGACGGATCAGGTAAACCTCGTCAGGAGTTAGATCTAACAGAGACCCAGGTAAAGGAACGTGCGTGCAAAGATCTCTTCGTTTGTCTGAATTATGTTAATGCGAGAAGATTTATATACATTTTCAATCACGCGGAGATTCGTTGAGGGTTGAAAAAGATGGACGATCGGTATGAAAATGGAAAGGACTCTCATCCTCGTTCACTGATCCATCGATACAAGCACAGGGTTAGAGAAAGAGCGACTTGGTCTTCTTTCGTTTACCTTTCTCCTGCCAAAGGGCTTGTAATGCTCCCGTCTGGCTGGTCGTCGGAGATGCGCCATTTTCCGGCTGCAGAGACTGGGAGAAGCTCGCGGAAGGCCGAAGAACTCGCGCGGACGACGTACTCTCGTGGACCAAACAGCTGAAGAATCGGATGAACGAACTGCGTTTACACGATCGCCTACGTGGATCGGCTTTCGTCAGCTTCGCGAGTCCATCGACTTCCGGCTCGAGGTACGTCGGGTCCTGGTTCTAAACCGCATTTATCACTCGGCCTGTCAGCTCGTTCTCACTTCACACGCGCGAACACAAAGGGGATCACGATTCCGTTTTTGGCGTCGGTCGCGAGGGATGCATCGAGGTCGATCGTTTCCCAAGTCCTCGCGATCTTTCGATTTCCTTAACCGGTCAGCGGCTCTCTTCCTATGCGAAACACCTCACGACCGTGCTCGCGCTGGCGAATCGGTAGCGACGATTAATAGGCTTGCTCGCGAGATGACCGATCTTTGGATCCATGCCGAACGCGATCGCTGACGACGCGTTTAGGGTATATCGAACGCGTAAATCTTCAGCCTTAACCTTGACTTTTGCACTCGACTTTGCAGAGGAGTAGATAAAAAGGTGCACAGCGAAAGATAGAAAGGCGGACTCGTGTACGCGTTGTTTTACATTACGCAGGGGCTAAAAATTGACCGTAACTCATCGCAACACAACTGTCACGTACCACCGTCGCGTAAACCTGATCCGAATCGTCCACGATATATTACCTCTACACTCTAGCGACCAAACAAACGGAAGAGGACCTACCACTACCAGTTCAATGCATCCCACGCTCATTCATCTCCCTCTACACTCTCTCCTCTCCACCGACTGAGCCCACGATTCCTCTCTCGCACCGTAGATCGCTCTAGCCCGACACTGTTTTACGACACTGCGTCTAGGCCGCGGATGGCCCACCTAGTCACGTGGCTGCGATCAGGCGAAAACGGCCCAAGACGAGCGACGTGATCACCGATCCCGTCCAACGATTCACACGTGATCGAGGATCGAATTCGCGACGCTGGACCGCTGCTGGGCCTGCTCTCATCCGCGGTCTCGGGCGAGCACGGAGAGACGCTGATCGCTGGTAACTGGCTACGAGACGAGGCCGGTACGCTCGAACGTGTGCTACTGGTGCGACGAGTAGCTTTTGGAACGCATCGCGACCTCCTCCGCTATAAATAAAACGGTGGCCGCCACACCGAAAACTCTGCCAGCCAGCCGGAGAGTGCTCGAGCCGTCGTAATTTTCCTCGTTCGACGAAGGAACACGGCCGAGAGGAATACCAGCCGGCCACAGGCGATTCCTAGAGACCAGCAATCTGAGTCAGCCAGCTGGCCTCTGAGCGATACTCATCGATACGATTCGAGGATTCATCCAGGATGCACGTGCCGGGAGGCTGGTGAACGGAAATGAAATCACCGATCGCGGATCGGTTCGCCTTTTACAGCCATTCGCCAGAGACGTTCGTTCGACTGTCCGACTGAAAAGTCTGCAGCTCTGCAGGTCTGAAAGGACGTAATTACAGAGGTGACACGCGAGCAGCGTATCCTGGGATAGGATCTGAGCTGGTTAGGTCCAGTTAGTAGAACAGACAGGTTGGACTAGTCAGTCGGGTAACATCGGTTACAGAGGAGTATCGTAATCGATAAGTAGGTCTGGGTTGTGTCTAGGTTGGATCGGCGTGCTACTAAAATTTGTCAAAGCCGAACTGGTAGCCTCGAGGCGAGGCAAATAATCCCGATGTCGTCTTCGACCATCCGAATCGGAGTAATCGATGAAAGTATCTCGTAGCCGCGCGTGTTATTCGCCATCTTGTTTATCCCCGATGGGAAACAGACTGATAGATTGTTTTGATTCTCATTCAAGAATTCGCTCGTCGTCTATCCAGAATTTCTCGTTCTGTCACGGTGTCGGGATTAAAGTAATCCTCTCGAATCTGAATTCACGGATGGACTATCTGTTCGTCGACGACGAAGACGGTGACGAAAATGATGGTATCGTGAATCGTTGGAAAATCCTCGTGACCGTGGAACGACGCGTAATTGGGAAGAATAAGTATCGCGAGGAAAACGGGATAGAGAAGAAAAATTGGATTGCGAGCTTTCGAAATAGAAATTTCTAGGTCAGCTTTGCATCCGAGGAAATATTGAACTGGCAGAGCATTGGCTGGTATTTTTCCAGGATTTACAGGCTCCGTGCGACGTTAAATTGGAATTCTTCGCGCGGCAACGACTAACTACTTATGTTTTAATCAGACGCGGGGAATGCAGATTCAGCGACTCGCTGTCAACGCTCGCTTTTCCGCCGGGTTGTCAAGAATTTAACTGGGTCAGCTTCTTGTTTTGTCGCTCGGGTCAAGACGCCGCGTCAGCGATTTTCTTAATCGTCGTTAATTTCCTTCTTTCTCCTTTTTTCTCTCGCTCGTACTTCGCAGGCTGAATGAAAGTCTCGCGAGATTGGCGTGATTATCGCGAAACTTTCGCCAATTTCGTTCCAAGCTTCGAAGTAGCTATGCTCGAAAGAGGAGCAGAGGAATTACGTTATTTAAATCTGGAACTGTAAACGGACTTTATCTGGTGTATGGATGCTTCATCGACGGATTAAATGCCAGGCCTAAGTGCAGGCGAGCCACGCGCGACGGCGCCTTAAAGATTCCGTGCCAACAGACGCCGCTCACCTTTGGCACTGAGCGTGGCTGTACTTAAAACAATTCCTTTAAATAAAAAAGCTACTATTCGTTATTTCGAACTTCGAAATCGAAGAGATTTCGAATACGGAATTAAATTTGAAAAAATTTTCAAGCGTAAACGATTGTTCGAATATCGAAATAGATCGATCGATAACGATATTCCGATTATTGTTAGCTCGCTTCGTTGCCTGGTATTTTATATATTCTACTTGAAAGTCGATGATTGAGAGCGTTTGTTTCGATAATGGCGTTTGGTTAGAAACGCGGAGAGAATCGATCATCGGTTTCCCCAAGAAGGTAACTAGACTTCCATTCGAGTGGAGGCGCCTCGAACAACGCGTACCCGTCGCTTGTGATCGACCAAGCAAACTAAAACTCGCGAATGTTCCTATTTCCCGCCGAAAGGACGTCGGTGCCGTAGAATGCTCTCTTACCGACCAGCGATAAAGCGGGCATCGAGACACAAAGGGTTACAAAAGACCGAATAGGCCGTCAGATGACTCGAAGTTGCTCGGTGAACTCTCCACTTCGACTTTCAGTCCATTAATCATACGCCAGTTATAACGTACGTACCGCGAGACTGAGAAAAACGAGAGTTCGAGAAACGGAGACCGTGGACCATAGAATTGGTAAATCGCAAGACGAGCAAACTACGCGCGAAACTCAAAGGGTACGCAACTGTAGCTATTCCCTTTCCTCTCGTCGATTTCAGGCTATTATTTCACGAATATTAAACCGCTCGTTGCTCAACGGACCTTTACTCCGGTGAAAAAGAGATGTGAAAAACCTATTAGCAGGATTGTCATCGGGCAAAGGCTCTTTGAATAATCGTCTCCCGTTCTTGTCATCGAGCAGCATCATCTCCCTCTGTGTCGACGCAATCAATGCTTAAACGTATAAGCACCGACCTCGTCGCTTCTCCACCGGATGAATTCACATTTTTAAGCGCCGCTTACCGAAACGTTTCTCGTTTTAATTATTCGCCTTTCCCGGTGATTTCCCCTGTTATTTTCGCAGTAATTGCAACCGCCAAGTTCTTTTCGTACCGGATACTTTTCCTCGCTATACCCTCATCGAATCTCTCGCGATTCGATCCGCGATTATTTATCTTAAACTCTTCGAAAACTTTTCAAATTTGTCGAAGATTGAACGTCTCGAACAGAAACGGAAAATTTAATCAAAAATTCGACCCACAATTTCGAATACTCGGAATACCTGAAAAAAGGGGGAAAGAATTCCCACCGGTTCGAAATACGCAAGATACCCCGTATTCGACGAACGCGTACCATTCGGAACATCAAGGTAAAACTAGTAACACTCGAAATACTCGACATACCTAAATCCCGGTATTCCAGACGCTAAGAATACCTAACCCAAAAATTCGCGCAACTCGGTATAAACAACAACGAACGGAACGAACAGCCTTTAAACACTCGACCCTCGCCCCAACAGCCACACAGTGCTCCCCTAATTACTCAGCGGCGCAATTGCCAGCGTTCCTGCGCAAAACACGAGTGCTGCTCCTCCCTTTACCTACGTACGTTCGCCCGAATGCGCCCGTTCGTCACCCTAAATTTCATTTTCGCGCGGTCTAGCGCGCCCGTTCTCGGTTGCATCACCGCTTCGCTCTCCGGAAATGTAGGCCGCGTCTATCCGCCGCGCGAGCAGAGCGGCGCGGATTTAGCATCTCTGCCGTCTCTAGCCCGCTTCCCGCCGCCGTCTGCCTCCGTCTCCGCTTCCCTTTCAGCCGGTTCACTCTCGAACCAGAGCCCGTCCGAGTTTTTCCAGAGGCACGCGAGACACCGCGCCGATTCCGTGACACGGATCGCAGCTGCGACGCTGCACCGGCGGCAATAAGCGAAGGTCGAGCCGTAAATTGTTCTCGATTGCGGCGAATTAGCGGACGATCGCTATCGCGGACCTAAAATTATTTTCTCCGCAGCCGCGATAATCGCGCGACGAACGAGCACCGGCTCGCGTAATTGCTCCGCTCGCAGCCGATACCGCCACGCTCCGTGTACGGGTTCCGTTACCTATGCGACTGCAATTAAGAGATTAAAAAGTTGGTGCCGCGATAGCGACTCGTTCCGACGCGAGTCGGCTGCACGCTCGGCGAGTCCTTTTCCCTCGACTCCCCGGGTTCCCGGCGAGGGGTTGCGTTTGGCAGGGAACGTCTCGAGTACTCGCGAGTATCGCACGGGGTATTTTATGGAGTATTCCGTGGAGTTCTATGGAACGTTCGTTCCGCGGTTCTCTATGGAGCGTGGTATAGAGCGTGCAGCGTGGAGTAGGTCGTTAATGGGAGGAACGTCGTATAGCACCGCAGAGAAAACGGTCCGTCTGGTGCAGAGTTTGATATAGTTAGAGTATCCCGCGTGGAACGGACTATGTGCTTTATATAGCATCCTATATAGCTTCGTACATAACCTGCTCTATATAAGCCGCTGTGTACACAATGTCTCGCACAAATTGCTCCGTACAGGGTGGCCTAAATACAGGTGCTAGTCCCCTGTACACGGGGAAACACTGGGTTTATCTGGAACGGCTTTGCGCCGGGAATGCAAAATTTCCATCATCGTATTCGTTACGAGAAAACGTGGAATTTTCTGCGCGCGTGGCCGACGCCACTCGAGGAGCAGGGAACGAGGCAAAGTCGGCGGATAGCACGGTGTTTATCCGGTTTATCCGTGAGACAGAGACACCGTCGGTGGAGAACCCGGAAATTCGAATTGTATTCCGGCCGTGTCGATTTACTCGCGAGCCCAGGATCCTCTCGAGTTACGAGGTTCGAGGAACAACAGCGAGCTGCGCTGTTCTCTCGGCTGGCAGCGGTAAACACGGTCCCCGCGGTAGGTTTGGTTCCCTGAAGGGCCAGTCGACAGACGGCAGATGGCAAGCACCTGACAGACTTCCCTTTCGAGAGGTCCTTTCCCGAGAGGCACCTCGATACCATCGAGAAATCCTCCGAGTCTGGCATCGGGATCGCGCGATCGACGCCGAGTCGAAGCGGAGAAGTAGCGGAGAAGAAGCGGAGTGGAGAGGAGTCGGAGCGGAGTCGGAGCGAGAAATGGAACGCGTACGTGGCGCTTTACGCGGTTAGGCGACGAACGGCCTTGAACCGGGAACGAAGACGACGACGCGAAGAATCGTACGAAGGCGAATTAGATCCAATCGAACGATTAAGGACGACAGGCGACTGCTCGAGGTGGAGCCGATTACCTCGAGGTAGCGTAACTCGGACGAGAAGGCGCATAGGATCGATAGCGAAGGAGGCGAGAGAGGCTGGTCCCGGTGGGAATCGGCCGGAGGATTTATTAAAAGATTTGTCGCCACGGAACAATGCAAATTGGACGAATTATCGCCAATTATTCCAGCCCTGATAATTCCACGCTCGGATAATTATACGGGCTCGCCGAAGCTCG